TAGTACCGAATCGCAAATTCACTTATTTTTTATATCATTCATTTGACTTCTGACATGAGACTAGACTTCATGATAATTATTTCATACACCAACCAATGGGTTGGAATATTTAGCATTGGGAGATTGAAGGGAAGGATGCCCTAGAGAACTTTTGAATTGTGGCCTTGAATTTGTGAAGATGGTGAGAGGCGTCCACTAGCTCGAACGTTTTTATGATTGAATTAGGGTCCGGAAAGTCTGTTTGATTGATTATGCGGCATATGCTGCAGTATGCTGTTCTGCCGAATCACATTGTTGTGAACTTCTCAATGAAAATTCAAGGGTTTTTGGAGAAAGATCATGGGTGCTTGGGCGAAAATAAGGGTGTAATTTTTGAGCCTAGGGGATAATTTAGGAATATGGGGTTTTCTGTGGGCGGAGAATGTTGTGTTTCCTTCAACTTTTACTCCTGATTTCGTAACTGAATAATGCTAAATAAAAGAGGGCGAGCCAAGCTTACAACAATTCTAAACTTATTCTAACCTATTCTTCGATAATGCCTTTTAATGGTAAATGAAGATTTTATCTACCCACTATGTTTTGAAATAACGCTGGTCCGTGCTTAATATGTCCTGTGAGGGTTGGAACAACGCTGATAAGCAAACCCAGTAGGTTCTAATCTACTCCTGAAAAAGAACACGGCGCTGAATTCGAGTCAGTCATGCTGTACACCATTACTGAGTTCTAGTCTCTGCGCTTAGTCAAACCACTTTGAAACATATTCAGAATTTACTCACCATAGAATGTTGGAATTATTTCAGAATTAGTGAGATTTAATTCAGCATTATAGTAAGCTTGGGTTGGGTTGATATCTCATTCCAATCAAATCATGCCTTCGAATTTGTACTTGGAGAGGGTAGATACAGTATTCTACCTACCCATGCTTACAATAAGTCTAAACTAATTCTAACGTATGCGTCGATAATGGTTTTTTATGGTAAATGAATATTCTATCTACCTACAATGAACCTACTATGTACTGAACTAACTGTGGTCGTTCCTAAAAGGAGCACTGGGAGATTAATTATTGTGACGAATACTTGAAAATAGGATTTGCTGCTGAAATAAAGCTGAAAAATTGTCACTATGTCCTGAACTAAGTATTTTTGTTCTGAAGCAATATCAGTCAGTGATACATCTGGACTGAGAGGTCTAAAACAACGCTGATTAGCAAACCCAGTAGGTTCTGAGCTACCTCTGGAAATGCCTATGAAAAGCACAGGGTGCTGAACTAGAGCCAGTCATGCTGAAAACCAGCACTGAGCTCTCGTCTGTCTACATAATCAAGCCATTTCTGAACAGATTCAGAATTTAATCATCATAAAATGTTAGATTTAGTTCAGAATTAGCGAGATTTAATTTAGCATTATAGAATGCTCGGATATTTACTATCTACTTTCTCTGCAAGTCTAAAGTATTAGGTGGAGTTATAGTCAATAGTAGATTCTAGGGCGATTTTAGGAAAATTCTGAGGAAATGCCACATTATCCCCAGAAAATCTCCTAAAATCCCTAGACACGGCAGAATCACACCCAAATTTCCTATATGAGGCGGTCGAAACCGTAGAATATTTTTCAAATAGTTGCTGAAGGGGAAAAGTAACGGTCAAATCATAGGAAAATATTGGTGTAATAGTGGTAAAACGCAGGTAAAATTCGGTTGAGTGACGCCGAAAATGGGGAAAATTATGTCATATAGCAAAAATCCGCCTATTTTCCCCACTATTGGCCATGCCTGTTATTTACCCTGGGACCCACAGTTTTCATTTGGGATTAAGGTCTTTACAAGTGATTGCATGAACAAGTTTTATTGTGTCGGGCATTTCTTATAGAAGTCAACACACACGGCTTGGTTAGCTGCCAACCATAAGCTTTCATAATAATAATAACTATTATTATTTTGGTAAATGCGTTTATAAAAAACGTAGAATTTCCAGCGTGTTTCTGATTGGAAGATATTTCATCCTTGTGCAGGATCTTCAAGTAATTTAATAAACGATAATTTATTGTTTTAATCTGAGGCATGCGTCAATAATCCACTAGGTTCCTACTTCATTTCCATCAGAAAATTCGTAGCAGTAGATTGAAACCTATTTAAAAATGTTCCTAAGTGTACTTTGCAATTCTTAGACGTAATTCGATAATTAGAACAATATGAAGTGGAGTAAACGCTATTCATTTATCTGGATAGTAAGTTTTGGGGATAGTCCAATGATTTAATCAGGTCGCTTTCATTACCACAATGGATTTCCCTGCTTGATTCACTTCTTGGTTGCGTGTATAGTTTCTTTTCTTGATACTATGTCTGTCTGTCCGTTTTCGACTTAGAACTTTGCACATATGTGCGGCAGTTCAAGTCGCCACACTCCATGTAGCACACAAAACAAGAGAAGAAAGTAGGAGAAATGCATATTAACGATAGTAAACAGAGGTGTGAGACAAAGGAATAGTAATAACGCGGGAGATAGAACGCAGACACCTATGATCAAAGACAGCTAATCTTTTCATGTCTTCCATTTTCAATGGCCAGGTCTCAGCCATAAAGGAGGACGGAGCGGACTGCTGAGCAGTACACACGCCCTTTGGTCGATAGTCGGATATCACGTCTACGCCAGAGATGGCGTAAACGGGCATATGCGAAACTACCCCTCTGTATTCGTACTGAGATTTCGTCAGAGATCAACCCGTTGGGGCTGATGGTAATTCCGAAGTAAGTGAAGCGGTCAACGTGCTCTACCACTTCACTTCCTATTTCTAATCTAGGAGTTGGTACTATGGCCAGTGCAGTTGAAAAGCACCTACATATTTGCCTGTTTTGACATATCTGAGGTCCCTGGCATCATATTTAATCTGTTAGGGAAATAAAGAACTACTGCTATCATAAGTCATTAAAAGCAAGTGAGTTTCTATGGTCTCATCAACTCATTCATAAAACAGTAATGCAGTAAAACTATACTGAGAAACAATGCACAAGAAAGTAGTATTAACTTGCACCGGAGGTGATGCATACTCCTGGAAGCTTCTGCAACGCTGCACTGTTCCTTTTATTGTTCCTCTGGAAATTACCACAGATAAAACTTATATTAATACTACTAGTATTGTCCTGTGAAGGTGATTTTTGAAATTATTAGTAATGACAGCACATTAGGATAAGTATTTTGTAAGACGTACTTCGGTGGCTTCAATTTTAATCCACCAAGTACTTGTGAAAGTACATGAGTGAGTAGAGCAGAGTATGATAGATGCAGTGTTGATATTATGACCTGCTCCTGTATCTTCTCTAGTGGCAGGTTATAGAAAAAAAGGATATATCAGCTCATGTGGTTAAATAATCAACGAGCTAGCCTCATAGTCTGAAGATCCGTGGTTCGAACTCAGGTGGGATCGTGTATACGTACTGTGGAAGAATTCAAAACTAAAACGAAGTGCAGCTGCCCAGCACTGTTTGGTTTTCAATGGTTAAGGGCGGTAAAACCGAAACCTGCCTTTAATCTATGAAATTTCTGGCTATTGGTTGAGTTAGTTATGTAGGGAGGTGTAGACTCTTTGGTTCGTGTCGTTGAGACACTGAGAACCATTGACTGAAGACGGTCGGTAAAATAGCTCAAAATCGTTCTCAGTGGCACAAGTGCATTCACTCTTTTGTATTCTCGCAAAACCATTAGGTCTTTATGTTTTTCCCGTACATTTCTGCTCTTTTCTTTTTGAATTTCTTTTGCCTCTCTTTTTTCATTACCTTGATGTGCTACCTGGAGTCTGACAACTTGGACTGGTGCACTTCTGAATATAAAGTTCTTTGTTGAAACTCAGTCATAAAAATGGCGGTGTTTACTGAGGCGTTGATATCAAGTCATTAAATTTTTAATAAATTAAAAATATCAACTAGTGTACAATTAACTAGAATTTAGCTCAGCAAATTAGTTTATTATTGGTAAAATAAATTTGTGCGTCGGTGGCACAGTGGTAGAATGCTCGCCAACCACGCCTCATGTGGTTCGGGGTTCGAATGCCGGCCGCAGACGCACGCTTTTACCTCACTAAGCTAGTAATAAGACTCATAAAGAGGGGAGGTTGGGCGTGAGGCTAGCAACCACATCCCGTAAAAATAAACACCACTGCTACCGAAACTTCAAAAAAGACTCTGTCTTGAAGCCCTATGTTCCACTGGGAACATAAAGAAGAAAAAACTTAGTACATCATAGGCATCAAGAGATGTGTCCAAGGGCGGGCTAGAATACTGCTCAGATGCCCAGATTCAAGCAGGTGGTTGTCTTAACAGGTCACTCGTACCCAGCTTTTTGACCTGAAATCTAATCCACAAGGGAGAGTGGAGCAGCCTCAGGAGCTACGTTCCTGTAGTGTTTCCAGTCCGGTGACCAAACCACTTCAACACACGCCATTTGATTCGTTTGGATTCTCTAGCCCATAGGTTTGAAATCAGGGTGCTCGAGTTTCCCTAGGTAGACCTGCAGCATGTCCACCTGATCGGTTGTAAACTCCAGACGTTTATGTTTACCCTATCACTTATATGTGAGAAACACCTATGATGCCTTAAGGCAATGTATAGGACTTACCTGGCAGAGATTGTAAACGGCTGACCGTATCAGAGCATTTCTAGAGTAAGACCTAAGTCTCTCCAACCTCGGTCGTACAATGTCGCTTGTGGGAGGTGGGGGGGGGGGGAGTAAATAATTTACTTTCAATGAATGTTTTCCGTTACTAATAAACTATAATTACATTTTGAGAAAGTATTACCAGTTGGAATGGAAGTTCTGTTTCACATTTTCTAAGTTTACTTTGCTTTGTTTCTTTTTTCTGAAGTCTAGTGAGTGGCTGTTATTCAATGATTTTTTTTGCAATTTTTTTTACATAGACTTGTTACTTTTCTTTTTTGTTGTTGTAAATATATTTAGGTATTTAAAGTTTCTTGTACTCGCTGATTAGTACTTCCTATTCGAATCCATGTCAGACGATATCAGACAAGAATTATTTCATTGCAGATTGTGCAATTTTAAAATCAGATATGATTATAAAGGCGACAGTCCACCATTCTTTAAGAAGGATGTTAAGTATGTGCACGTATATATATGCATTGTCGTGTATTAAATTGAATTTCTTATAGACTTTTAGAAAATGCCTATTGCATCCGTGATCCATTTGCTGATGATAATTTAGGCGGGATAATACTCGGTGGAGATTGTAGCCTATGCGGTAAATGTGTTTGTGTTTCTCAGGTAGGAATCTGATTAAATCATTTATACATATATATACATATACATACTCACCTTTTAGAATTGTTCCTCTTACTATCTTAAACGATATTGTCGTGATTGTAGCAAAGATATGAATGATTCGGCTTCATAATATCATTTTATTTGTGCATATATTTATATATGTTGTATAATAAACACGTCTAAGTTTTGTACATTATCGTATTTGTTAAATAGAGCTTATTTTCTATTACTTAAGTCTATTTTTTTTTCTGTAATGGTTATCAAGGATGGACTTTGTTCGAGTGAATGTATGAGATATGATATCGGTCGTTTAGTGGTCTCATTAAGTTTGAAACAAATCATCTGAATGTATCCTTTATTTACTTGCCGCGATCAATAGGTGCTACTTTGATGTTGTTTGGTGGTTGGGTTTGAATATCGCAAGGATCCAACAAGGTATACTGACTAAAACTAATGTTCCTACAGGTTCTATCAAGCCAGAAAGGTTGTTTGGATAGTGTAAGTGGATTACCATATGTTGGTTGGTTGGGGAAAGGCGGGGGTCTGAGGGCGAAGTTGTACTGTTGGCGAATGGGGTTGTGTGACGGCAGTAAGGTGTTTCCTTCAGATTACCAGCAAGCAAGCTATGGTGCTTCTTCTCCGTTGATCCAGAAGTCTGTATATTTCAACTTAACTTGCCAGAAAATCTGCATACAGCTGTAACTCCAACATGCTATTCAAACAAACCGTGTGTGTGCGGCTGGCCTTAAACAGTTATCTTTTGGGCTGTGTAGTCAAGTAACACTGGTGCTTCTTCAGTTTCAGGGACTTCAGGAAGAATAGATCAACTTCCATGGTGTAGGTAGTCGAGAATTAATAACCATTCACACGCTTCCATAAACACACAAAGCTTTTGCCAACCACCATTCACCTTCCCCATTATTTACTCATTTTTCCTTTGTGCAGTGTCCTGGCTGCGAAACCAAATGTATCGGGGGTGGGAGTATGAGAGACTTGGTAATGGGATATTTATTTGCAGTTAGATTTATACATACAGAGAAATTATGTATACCTTATCTGGAAATCGTCATTTACTGCACAGATCTTCCGTGTTGTACTGGCTACTTCTGTCCTTCATATTGTGTGTCTGTTTCCGTCTTCACTTTCGTGTCTCCCATGTTCAGCTGCAATGAACTGGTTCATTTCCTTCCTCTGGCTTCAAATCTATCTCTTCGCTATTTGATATATTTTGTCCTCTTTAACGTCACTTTACATACTACTGATAAACCTTGTCAGTAGCATACGCCATAATTATTTTTTTCTATTATTGTTCCCTTGGGTTCCGAGTAGAGCATAGGGCTTCAACAACACATCTCCACTTTCTATTTTCGGCCGTCCTTTTCAGATTAGTCCACGATGGCCCAAACTCTCCCATCTCTTCCTCACATGATCTCCTCTGTGTCACCCTCACTCTGACGACCCACTCCGTCTCTCCCCATTTGGACTCCAGTCAAGGGCCTGGAGCGAGATGTCATTCGGTGGTTTCCTCAATGTATGCCCGATCAATCCATCTCCATTTTCTCTTACATATTTGTTGAGAAGTCGGCTCTTGGTTGATTCGTTCATCGCCATAGTTTCTTGTTGCTAATTCTTTCTGGCCATTTGTTCTTCAGTATGGAGGCAGCCAGCGAAGTTGGCAGCTGTTGATGAAAGTCTTTAACCTGTTGGAAATCCTTTACGTTACATGCCAAGTTTCTGACTCATATGGAAGGAGCGACTTGACATTGGTGTTGAAAATGCGAATTTTGTTCCGTATGTTGAGTGTAGAAGATTTCCAAATCTTTGGTTTCAGTTTGATGAAGGCGTATGTTGTCTTTCCGATTCTGACTGACTTTGACATCCTTATTCGTTCTGACTGCTTGTGGTTGAAACAATGCTTACTGTCTAGGTAAGTGAAGCTAGGAAGTAACTTCTTCCAAATTCCTCCCGTTGATGGTGATTATTGCTGGTTGTTGTTGTTATTGCGGTTAGTTGGTTATCCTCATCACCTCCATCTTGTCTTCGCTGACTCTTCATCCAGTATGTTGGCTTTCATCGGTAATCATACTTTATTGTTATTTTTATTACCTTGGGTTCCAAATGGAACACAGGGCTTGCTAGGACTGGTTAGTAAACTAGACGAGGTTTAATGAGGTCATAGAGTATAATTTGTGGATATGGATAGAGGAGGCGTTCGACAGAGAGTTACTCTTTCCAGAGATATCATTCTCAAGCTGAACAATTACATATATATATATATATATATATATATATATATATATATATAGAAGAAAGTGGAGATGTGTTGTTGAATCCGTATGTTCCACTCGGAAACTAAGGGAACAATAATAGAAAAAAATAATTGTGGCGTGTGCTACTGACAAGGTTTGTCAGTAGTATGTAAAGAGACCTTCAACGGCACAAAAATATTAAATAGCCAAGAGATAGATTTGAATCCAGAGGACGGAAATGAACCAGTGTATTGTAGCGGAACATGGGAGACACACAATATGAAGGACAGAAGTAGCCAGCACAACACGGAATATCTGTGCAGTAAATGACGATTTCCAGATAAGGTATACATAATTTCCTTATATGTACCAATCTAACTGCAAATAAACATTCCATTACGAAGTCTATTTTTTCTTCCGTTGTTGCATTTTGACCGAATTTATTGGTTGAATCGCTTACATAAACATTCCACTCTTGTTTATTCTTATGACCGCGTGCTTAAACTCTATGTACTTCTGTTGACATTAACCCTTATTAGCATTATTTTTATTTTTGCTATCAGTATAAGCATCATTATTACTGAGGTTCAAAATATTTAAAAAATTATTATTATTTTTTGTTTCATAAACAAACCGTCATTAGTTAAATTATATAATTATATATATATATGTATATGTATATATATGTGAATTCTTGGTTTCTAAAACTAATTACTACTTTAGAAATGACCTAGTTTCCTAGATTAAATCGATAGTATATATTACGAAATTGTACAGTACGCTAGGAAACGTGTGAATGAAAGCAGTAATTTGTTTTTTTTTTCATCTTTTTTTGTTGCTTAAAGTGGCATAAAATTCTGAGTTAACTAAAAGGTGACCTTTGTCTATTGATAAGGTACAGATTGTTAATTTACAGGAAATAATAATAATAATCTACTCTATTCCAAAAACAGTACTTATAATACAGAATGGAATTCTCAGCATTTGTCACAATATTGCATCTGATTTACTTAAAATATAAATTAAATTAAAAATTAAAACAAAATTAATCAGAGGAATTTGTCCACGTTTACGATATAAAGTCAAAAATATTCGAAGTACGAATTGAGAATATTAAATATAATAATGATAATAATAATAACAGTGAGTTTGTTTCAAACAGTATTGTCGATTCAGTTTGGAAATTTTAGCATGTTATAGATTATTGGATCTAATGTTCTGCTGATATAGTATGGTGAGGTGAAAGGCAAAATTAACAGTCATAACACAGCTTAAATGATGTTCACACTTATGAGAAAATCAACAAAAAATTGAGAGGATTATAAATATATGAGGAACAATAACAATAAAGCTTGACGTTATAAGGGTGGAGAAAGTGGTTTATTTACTAGTGCAAAGAAGGTTAGTTAGTTAGTTCATGCCTAACACTATTTTCATCACATAAAGTACGTGCCAAATATTATGGTATAGTGGAATTTTTATACCTAGACATACGTGCATAAAGTTTCCTGAAATGACTTCTTGTTTTACCTGAGGAGACACAAGGTTGGAGCTGCGGGTAAAGTGGATGCTCACAGTCTGACAAAATTCCTTTAGCATATTTGTTGCATGACATCAAGTGCCTATCAGTGACAATGTCAACAATATGGCCCAATGGGATACCACCACTCGCCCTACTGACAGTCTTCAGAGTTCTACGAAGTATGACATAGTCTTTTTTAAGCAATCCAGGAAAGAATAAGGGTGAACAGTAAAGAAGAATAGGTAAGATACACGAGTTGACAAACTGTAAGAGGAGGGGTGGGTTGAGTTATGCCTGAGTGCCTTAACTTCTTAATGTAAAAAGTCAGACGAAATATTCTTTTAGAAATCGCTAAGACATGGGAAGACCAGGATAGGTCAGAAGAAAGAATTAATCCAAGATACTTAACTTCAGACTTGATTTCTATATCAGTATCATCAATTTTGCAAGGGTCATAGGAACCAACAGCTTCATTTAACTTTCTTTTACATCGGAAACTGAAATTAACAGTCTGACATTTGGAAGGATTTAGTTTAAGGCCATTAGACGAAGACCATTTGCTAACTCCTGATAGAAAGCTGTTCATCTTAGTACAGTCTAGCTGAGAGTTAACAGACATTGAAATAGTTAGATCATCAGCATACTTAACAAAGTTCATTTCATCAGAGTGAGGCAAGTCATGCAAGAAGAAAGAAAACAGAAAAGGAGAAAGGACAGCGCCTTGAGGGACACCAGCCTCAGTAAGCAATGAAGTGGACGACTTTCCCTGACATACAGTGTACTGCTTTCTTCCTGAGAAATAAGAATGCAGCCATTTGACAACCCAACAGTCAGTTTGAGTTTCAGCAAGCTTGTTTAACAAAATGTCCCTAGGTACTGAGTCGAAAGCAGATGTGTAATCTAGGAAGGTGCAGCGAACAAATTTAGCCCCCTTGTCTAAGCTGGAGACAATGTTATGATACAAGACTGCAGCTGCATCTAAAGTACTTCTACTGTGTTTATAGGCGAATTGTTTGAGATCGTTAAAGGCTTTAAGTGAAGATTGAAGATTAAGTAAGAGTAACTTTTCCACAGTTTTTTAGAAAAGGAGAGGTAATAGCAATAGGTCTAAATTTAAAACATGTTGCAGTAGATGACTTGTGTATAGGTACAATTTTAATGTCCTTCCAAACGGCTAGCACGACATTTCTGGAAAAAGATTCATTAAATATGTCCATGAGAGGATAACAGGATATCTGCACAGTTTTATTTTTGAATGAAGTACAGTTGTTGGTTTTTTTTGTAAAACACAAACAACACATTAAAAGAATCTCGTCGAAATTTTGTTGTCGACCGCTGGATAGATTACGACAGATAGTAGGTCGAAAGACTTAAGCGTTATGGACCTACTCATCTTCATGCAGTATATATATATACCTTACAAGATATCTATTTCGTGGATTATTTATGTCTCATGTCATGTGAACTCAAATAGGCAGTATCGTTTCAACTACAGCTAGCATGTGGGACGATATCAAAGACAGTCGGGATCAGATCTGGAAAGTAAAGCGGACGTTCATCCTTCTGAAAACATTGTGAATATGTAGAGTAGTGAAAAACAAAAAGAACAAGATTTGAGCTTTCAACAAGAATACCAAGTCAGTATTTCTGTATGTATGGTTCAAAGACTTGATGCGCCACTAAAACTTTCATGAACAGCTGTCTTCATTCGATTGTGAAGATAAAATAGTCAGAAAGGCTAAGAGAACCATTCGCAAACAAGCATGTAGAAGAAAATGGAAATGAATTGAACAAACTCAGCGTGAACTAGTGAGTGACATCACACTGCATGCTTTCGAGTTCAACTCGAATTCGAGAGGGACATCGATCAATACCATCAACTGCTTTGCTTCTCATTTTAACCGGTCGACAGTGACGATAAACACTCGCCACCGACGATATTGGCCGGCGGTCAAGCTATTATTATTATTATCACGAATTGGTAGAAGTTAGAATTCATGAGCCATCGAATCGGGTCCCAGTGGCTGAATGATATACGAGCTTGCCTTTCCTGCGTTCGAACCGTGGTGGTGGGTGCGTCCTGCCGATGATTCCCAAAACTCGGATGAAACAGCTGTCCAGTACTCCCTGGTTTTCAGTGGTTCTCTAACTGATATCAATCCGTCACCAACTCGTAAAAAATAATAAAAGCCATAGATTGGTATATAATGGTCAGTATAATTGAAATTTTTGCACAATATATATCAATATAGTAAAACAACGACAACAACAAAGAAGCAAAGGAAGTTAGCATAGGAGTATTTATGTCAGTAAATTAAATGATGTGATTTTCTGTTAATGAACATTGAACATAGTTCAAAATCTTTCGTTTCAATAATTAAGAATAGTAATAACTACTCAATGTACAAATATGTGCAATTAGTGAAAAAAAATAATAATTAGTGTTACTATTATTCACAGCACAATGTTATTTGAATAAAAAAAATGTATAATTCAAATTCATGAAACACAAAAAGTGTAGTTTTGTTTAAATAATCTATAGCGTTCATTCATTTTTCGCGGCTATTTTTAAACCTGAAGATAAGGCACTTTTTTTGAAAAAGATTAATTAATTAGATGATATGACGCCTGTTATCAATTTAATGAATAAATGAATGAATTATTTAATTAATCAGTCAGCGTTGCACTGTACGTGTTATTTAATAGTTTCACTGGGAGTTGGGCTCATCAGTCTTCTTTCTATGAGCTTTCAACTGGTTGATATATTCTCCAGTATTACTAAATTCGTATAAACAATGAATCACTTTAGTTGGAAGAAGTCTATAAGACAAAAAAAACAAAACAAACAAGAAACAAATGATAATTTCACATAAGCAATGATTTGTTGAGGTATAGGTGGTTGACCAATAATGCCTATAAATATCGGTTTGCCATTTTGTGATTGTTTAACACTAACTAATATGTATAATTGTGTATGTATTGATGGATTTACATGTCCAAGATGGCTCAAGTCAGTGAGTCTATGGTTTCGGCATCATTTTTGTTAACTGTATCTGACTGTGATGCTATTGATACGGTTATTTTTTTATTGTCGCGGTTGTCGCTGCCCTTCCTGTTGTGAATTTTTCGCCTTTGGCTGGTGTTGTTCTGATTGCTTTATTCCTTGTTTCCCTGATTCTAAGGGAAGCAACCCAGAAGGTCACTCCTCTGTAAACAATATATTAACGTAACAACCACACCCTGTAAATAAAGCTGCTACAGAAACTTCAGCACGATGAATCTCCTTGCGACAAAAGAAAAAGTCTTTGTGGGGACATGGAATGTCCGCACCATGTACGAGACTGGTAAAGCTGCCCCGATTGCAAACGAGATGAAGCCCTATGTTACTCTAGGAATTAAAGGAAATAATAATGATAATAGTAGGTGGTGGCGTTTATTTTTACGTAGATCGAACACGATTAGTAGTTAGATAGATTGACGATATAAAACACACAAAACAGTGACTGACTGGTTTCCACACAGAACGTTGCACAGATGTGCAGCAGTTCGAGTCGCTATACTCCATGTAGCACACAAAGCAAGAGAGGGGAGTAAAGAGAGGGACTCAAAACATAGATAACAGACAGAAATATGAGGCAAAAAGAATAGTAATTTGGAAGAACAATAGCATTTTATTGTATATGATAAATCACAAGGAGTGGATGCATCTAAACCAGGGATTGAGAACGATTTGAGCCATATCACTGATTGTATCCAAAAGTCATTAGTTTTTACCATTTCGAGGACCCCAACCAGGAAGTTTACACCTCCCTACGTGGCTGGCTGGCTTAAACTAGCTGTTGTGGATTTCATTCACTGATGAGGCCACGTTTTGGTTTGATCACCAATAGCTCTTTTCCAACATGATCCATCCTATGTCAGCTAACATTACCCGTTGTCAAGAGAGGCGATCTGTGGTTAGGCATGCGTAACACATGTCCTAACCATCTCAATCGGTCTAACTACACAACCTCGTCGATTGATTTTCCCTCCTTCTTAACACTCGGCAGATGCCTAACTTCAATATTGCTCACGTTATTATTATACCACTTAACACGGGACATAGAACGCAGACAACTATGATCAAAGACAGCTAACTAGCCAGTCTTTTCATGTTTTCCACTTTCAATAGCCATGCATTGCTTGCAGCCATAAATGAGGACGGAGAGGACAGCTGAGCAGTATGCACGTCCTTTGGTTGACAGGCAGCCGGATATCACTTCTACTAAGCCATAAATGGCATATACCAGACGAACGCTGAGATTTCATCAGCCATCAGCACAGTGGGGTTGATGCCACCTCCGAAATAAGTGAAGTGATGAACACGCTCCATCAACCACTTCACTTCTGATAGGCGATGTAGTCCATTCCTGTAGCATCATCTTACATCTAACAAAGGGAGCGAATCACATGTCAAACGTTAGGAAGATTCCTGCTCCTCAAGGTGTTGTCAGCGTTTTTCACCTAGAAGAATTATATCATCACACAAACGTGTGATGTGGTCTTGTGGTGAGAGCTGGCTGCTAGCCAAAATTGGTAGATAGTTATTTACGTCAATGTGTACGTCCCCAATATTGGTCATGAGAAAAATAACAAAAACAAAGACTGACTCAACAACCAATCACAGCACACTTTGCGTAGGCGGATTCGCAATTTGCAGATAGATAATCGGAACTTCAAGAAACGGCCACAAATAGATGAAGGACTAATGTCCAGTGAGAAACCACCAATCAGAAGACTGTGTTTGTTTGCTTACAATAATCTATAATAATGTGCATGAAAATCTAAAAAATATGTGTTGATTTCCTAAATAAACGCTATGTTGCCTGGCTCTTGTCTTATGTTGTTACAGTCTGAATAAAAATTAATAGGATTGTGTAAACGTGTCTAACAAGAGAGACTATATAATCATCACCATGCAGAATGCGATAAATTCTTTATAACGATATTAATTATTATTATTATAGTTCAATAATAAGCAACACAACAAATTTAAATCACAATAACAAAATTTTTATTTTCAGATATTGACAATAATAAAATATAATATGTTTGTTATCGTGACACAATAATATTAAGTTATGCGATGAATACACGTATGACATAAAAGATAACAGATTAATTACCGCGCGCTGATGTTTCTCAGCTTCTTATAACAATTATAATAAAAACCTAATTTTTGATCAGGTGCTTAGCATTTAGAGGGAGGGAGAGATAGAGAGAGAGAAATCGATTTACTCTCTCTCGATCGATTTATATTCATCTGTCATATTCTAAACGAAACTGGATATCCAGAGAAGTTTATAAAAGTCAACATAGATGAATAATAGTCACAAACATGAACTGGCAAATGGTGGAGAAAAAAAGCCATTATTATTTTCACGTCTGCAATTTGAAGGAAATACTCCTACACACACACACACACACACACACAGAGATCCTATTACGACATCTAAACGGAGCGATAAAGAAGAAATCATGCTCCAAGCCATTGCTTGAGTGGGACTCGAATGCGAAACGACGAGTTGGGAGCCCGAGGGTGGCACAGAGGAGATTAGAGACTATGGACAATCGTTAGACCAGCTACAGTCCCTTAATCCCTATCATTAATCCTGCAAACAATTATTTTAGCAACGTGAATAGCCTCAATACATCTGTCAAGACTACTGAAAACTATCCACAGTCATGTCAGTGAGTTATGAGAATGGCGTAATAACTCACGCTAGTACCCTCTATATATAGCTTGCTCCAGCCTAATATTTACATAACTCGTGTTAGGATGAATATTATAATTAATATTATCCCCTTAGGTTCCAATTGGAACATACGGGGCTTCAACAGTACATCTCCATTTCACACCCCTAGGACCAGTGCCCAACTCATCGTTACCCGTTCCGATTCCACTTGAGCGATGTCGTCCAATGGTCTTCTCAGTGTTTGTCCAATCCAATTCCATTTTCTTCAGCATATTTATTGTACAGCAGATAGATTCTTAATCAGTTCTTTACCCAGACTACCTCTGTTACTTTAATTCCTCCTGGCTAAGATGAATAGAGACTTTGTATTTGTAATCCATTCCATTCCATCGACATATTGATAAGTTTTCAAGTATTGGTTTTGTAGGGATTTTGTTTGATTGCATGGAGGATTTCATCATTAGCTGACATCAGTTAGAGAACCACTGGAAAACCTGGGAGTAATAGACAGCTGTTTCGTCCCAGTTTGGGACTCTTCATCAGTACGCACTCACCGCCAGAGTTAGAACCCAGGACCTTCTGGTTACAAGGCTAGCTGGCTCGTAGACCATTGAGCCACTGGGACCGGATCCAATGGTCCTTGAGTTCTAACTTCTGCCAATTCACGATATAGCGCGGCCATTTCGCAATGTCTTCTTCGATGAGTTACTGCCTCATCTTCAACCTGCTGTACCCTACTGGTCACGGCTTCCCACTAGGACGCCAGGTTAACTGCCTGAATATTGATAAGTGGTTAAAAATAAAGTCAACAAAACAGCTAAGATAAGGAATTAGTTAATACAATAGAAGACGACTTACAGCTTTAACACAGGTAGTATACGATATCGCGCTGTTATATAAACAACACGTTCATTCAAACGAACAGATTCGACAATACGACGTGCACAATGACTGGCATCAACAGTGGGGAATAGCCAAGGATGCCTAAAATGATATAGTTGGAATGTATATTTTTATATATGTGGATTAATTCTTCGATGAAAAAACAGAACCAACTCTCTCTCGGAACAGTTCTTACCACACAAAAACACGCACAGACAAAAAAGGAATAATTGAAAAATGTAAAAAAAAGCAATGGACAGCTATTTTATTTCTATTTTGGGAATTTTCAGTGATGCATCTGATTAATTTCCAACCATTCGGTTGTAAATCTAAATAGCTTTCCCTTTGCTTTCACTGGTGTTATGAAGAAAAAAATAAAAGATGAAAATTTTCTTTATCAATGAAATCATTACCATGTGACTAAAAATATATAGTAGCCTATCAATTAGGGCAACAGTAAAGAATAGACACCAACTACAGACGACCTTGAAACAACCAATCAGATTCTTTCAGTTAAAAAATGGCGTAAAATTAATTTACAATCTGATGGTTTTAAAGTGTCAAATTTTTATCTTTACTTATAGCATTTAGGTCATCAAGCTTCACTAGATTAGCTGTCACTGTGCCCTGCAACAACTGAATATCTTCTGAGGAAGGATCACGGCTAAATTTGCTTTTATAAATGAACTTGTCAAACCTTAGGTGTAAAATTATCGTCGAACGTAACACGTTGGAATTTTATGAATTATGTATTAAAAATCATTCCTTCCCGAGGCAATTTTATAAAACTTTGAAATTCAGTAAATTACAACCAAATATCTCTAATCTTGTTCGTCTTACAAAGTCACATATCGAAAATGTTAGACAAACGTTACAAGGACTACTTGTTCTTAATACCGATGCGTCACTTATTTTATCTGAATTATCAATAATATGGCACCTGAAATCCCTTCAGTTTTGTAAAGATGTTACTTAGAAAACAAAGAAAAATATACAAAATTAGTTGAAGAGTTCAATTAATGATCGAAACCGCGTAAATGTCTTTCCGGTGAATGCTGATAAGCATGTTACAAATCTTTCTGATATTACTCGATCTACTCATCAGAAAGAAGCTTTATCCCTTGGACTCAAATTTTGTGTTCCCCGCACACAATTTACGGATTTAGCCATCCATGCTGAGTTTGAAAACTTATATGACCAACTCAAACCTCTTGCCGCAACATCCGATGAAGACCGGGGTTGGTTTAAGGCCAAGATGGTGGATATAGCTCATCAGTTTTTAAACAACAACCCAGAGGAGAAAAGTATTTTAAATTCCAAGCATTTCAAAGCCTTGAAAGAGCTACGGGAAAATTCTAATATAATTATTACGAAACCTGATAAAGGTTCTGGAGTCGTTATTATGAATAAAAGTGACTATAAATCTAAAATGATGTCTATTGTTGATGATAAAAGCAAATTTAGCCGCGATCCTTCCTCAGAAGATATTCAGTTGTTGCAGGGCACAGTGACAGCTAATCTAGTGAAGCTTGATGGCCTAAATGCTATAAGTAAAGATAAATTTGACACTTTAAAACCAGATTGTAAATTCCCGCGTATGTATAGTTTGCCAAAAATACATAAACCCAATAAAATTAATTAAAAACTGTATTTTTAATGTATATATATATTCATTTTTATCATATATATATATTAAAAATGACATACAGGATAAATGTGTCTAATAAGCTTCGAAAACTGGTCTCAGTTTCGCATAGGAGTGAGTGGTTATGGGCATATTTAACCAATGTTGATACAAAAACTCATCCGAATGCCTATATACCATATCATTTCGGGAGCCGTTTACCTTTCTGATACGGGTTTTTTTGGAGGTGAACCCAGAATCCTTCAATGGAATTTGCCTGTGTTCCAGTTATAGGATCCACTAATTTAGAAGATTGGTTTACTTTGTGGTGAATATAGCCTAGTGAGGATAATTGAGAATAACCTTTCCACTCGTCTGTGTGAATGGTGGTAGTGTCTAGGAGGACTAGCAGTTGTACAATTGGTATTAAGATAACAGCACTTCTGTTCGGGATGCGTTCTATGAACCCTTCACAAAGATTTGTGTTGTAAAGTCCCAGCACCCAAACATGATTTGCTCTACTCCTGCCACAATTCATTTTTCGCTTAATAAGTACAGTTTCGTCAATATGCACGACGATGCCAACTCCCCCAAGTACAAAGGTGATCCCATTTAGCTTTTGTGACGCAATATCGCGGCAGTACTGATACCACTGCACTGTTGAAATCTTTGTATTCTCCGTTTCTGCAGCTGTAGCAGATACTGGTCGCTTTAGTAGCCAGTTGTGGCATATACGCATTATTTTACTAAGAGAGAATTTCGATTTCGTGAAGAAAGTATCTAAAAAATCACCATAATGTAGGACTTACCAACTCGCACAGACTTCCATATGTAACAGTGGTTGCAACGAAATGCGTATCCGTCAATAGCGCGGTAATACTTTTGTAGCGTCACAATAAACCTTTCCAGCTTTGATTGGACACTAGTTAGTCACTGGTGTAACGATTTTGAGCCATATCACCGATTGTTTCCAGCCACTGGTTTTTACTGTCCCGAGGACCCCAACCAGTCAGGAAGTCTACACCTCCCTACGTGACTAGCTTAAACTAACTGTTGTAGATGTCATTGACTGATGAGATCACGTTTTGGTTTGATCACTCACTAGCTCTTTTCCAACCTGATCCATCCTATGTCAGTTAACATTGCCCGTTATTGAGGAAGGCGATCGGTGGTTAGACATGAGTCACACATGTCCTAACCATCGGAATCGGTGTAACTTCACAACCTCGTCGATTGATATCCCCTCCTTACCTAGCACTCGACAGATGCCTAAATTCAATATTGCTCACCTTATTATATATACCACTTTACCCGGGAGATAGAACGCAGACAACTATGGTCAAAGACAGCTAGATAGCCAGTCTTTTCATGTCTTCCACTTTCAATGGCCATGCATCGCTCGTAGCCATAAAGGAGGACGCAGCGGACTGCTGAGCAGTACATACGCCCTTCATTCAATAACCGGATGTCACGTCTAAGCCAGAGACGGAGTAAACTAGCATATGCGAAACGAGCTTTTTGTATCCGTGCTGAGATGTCATCAGCGATCAACCCGTTGGCATTGGGGCTGATGCAACTTCCCAAATAAGTGAAGTTGTCAACACGCTCTACCACTTCATTCCCTATTTCTAAGCTAGGAGTGAGTCACAATGTAGTCCAGTCCAATAGCATCATCGTAAATTGCAGCTCAAGGCGTTCAGAAGACTTCGTCCAAACTCTTGAATATCAAGTTTGTGTTTTTAAATAATAATAATAATAATAAAAATACAAATAACCAAACACTTACTTCGGTGTAACTCCCTTAAACATATTTGTATTGATTAGGAAGGGTAGTATACGTGTGATACAGATTTCATCAACAATGCCTAAATTCGCCAATTCCAATTCAACTGATTCTGAGAGTAGATTGGAGGCTGCTTTCGATGCACAATAATCTGCACCACCAGCTAAGGGGATATAACCAGCTATTGATGAGATACAAACAATATGACCTCTTGGATGACGATATTTATTAACAGGCAAATCAGAATGACCACCAGTTGAATTCGTCACATGACATTTGTTAAGCATTGTTGGCAGAAATGCTTTAATCAGCTATTAACAATAATTTTTTTTTCAAAAGTAGCATAAAAAAACAAACAAAGCTGCAATGGATTTCATAACTAAATGATGCAATATTTATGTTATCTAATGATCTTCAACTAATTCATTTTTAGGAATAACAAAAAATCGCCTTCTTTAGCTGTACAATCGGAGTTATGCACCACTTTTTCACGAAAGAGAGTGTAGTAACAAAAATGATGAATTGTCATAATCATAGTTTTCAAGTATTGGTTTTCTAGGGATTTTGTTTGATTGCATGGGTTATTTCATCATGAGCTGACATCAGTTAGAGAACCACTGGAAAACCTGCAGGGAGTACTGGACAGCTGTTTCGTCCTAGTTTGGGACTCTTCATCAGTACGCACCCACCGGGATTCGAACTCAGGGCCTTCTGGTTACAAGGCGAGCTCGTAGACCATTGAGCCACTGGGACATGATGTCAGCTCATGATGAAATCCTCCATGCAATCAAATAATCATAGTTGTTAGTATTAATCAATAACTGACTGTTCCTGGTTGAGGTCATCGGGACGGTAAAAACCAATGGCTGGAAACAATTGGTGACATGGCTCAAAATCGTTCTCAATGGCTGGTGCAGATGCATCCACTCCTTGTGACTTATGATTTCCACTGAAACTGTTTTGTTCTTCGTTATTACTATTCCTTTGTCTCACACCTCTGTTTACTGTCTGTATTATCCATTTCTTCTACTGTTTTTTTCTTGCTTTGTGTGCTACATGGAGTGTGGCGACTTGAACTGCCTCACATATGTTCAAAGTTCTATGTCGAAAACAGACAGACAGACAGAATAACTGACTGACTGGCTGCTTCCAACATAGAACTTTGCACAGATATGCAGCAGTTCGAGTTGCCAATCTCCCTCCATGTGGCACACAAAGCAAGAGAAGGGAGTAAAGCGAGAGTGATAATAAACACAATTGCGAGTGAGGGAAAAGGAATAGTAATATGCAAGAACAATCGAACTTTATTGGATATGACGAGTCACAGAGATTGAATGCATCTGTGCCAGGCATTGAGAACAATTTTGAGCCATATATCACCAGCTGCTTATAGACACTGGTTTTTACCATTTTGAGGACCCCAACTAGGAAGCCAGTATACACCTCCCCACATGGCTGACTGGCCGGCTTAAACTAATTGTTGCGGATTTTAAATGACTGATGAAGCCATTTCTCGATTTGACCACCACTAGCTCTTTTCCAATTTAATCCATCCTGTGTCATCAAACATTGACCATCGAGGAAGGCGATGGCTAGGCTAGCATGTGCAACACATATCCTTACCATCTCGATAGATTCATCTTCACAATCTCGTCAATTGATTTTCTCTCCTTACCTAGCACTACTCTACACCTAACCTCAATATTACTCTCACTATCATACCTCCTAACACGGGAGACGGAACGCAGACACGTATGATCAAAGACAGCTAGCCTTCTCATGTATTCCACTTTAAGTGGAGGACAGGGCGAACTGCTGAGCAGTACACACCCCTTTTGGCCAACAGCCGGATACCACGTCTACGTCAGAGATGACGTAGGTTGCCAAGTGCCAAACGAGCCTTCCAACTAACTGACTAACTGGATTCAACATAGGACTTTGCACAGATGTGCAGCCGTTCAACTTGCCACACTCCCTCCATGTAGTACATAAAGCAAGGGGAGAGAGAGTAAAGTAAGATTCAAAAGAGAGGTAATAATAAACAGAAATATGAAGCAAAAAGAATAGTAATATGGAAGAACAATATAGTTTTATTGGATATTATAAATCACAAGGAGTGGATGGATGCATCTGCGCCATTAGTCAGTGCATAAGAGGAGCTGAACAATTCCATTGTGGATAAACTTTTATTTTGATAAAGTCACACAAGGTTATACAATAATATCTACTGATGACGTTTCGAGCAAATTTTTTTTGCTTATAACCATATCAAATTACTCACATAACTTTCTAACTTCGTTTATATAATTAATTCCATTATTTTTCATCTCTCAATTTGATTGGTAGAACACTGAGAAACTTTATCAAAATAAATTTTATCAATAATGGAATTATACTCTGTCACAGTGCACAAGTTCTAGTCATATATCAGAGGGTTTAATAAATGTATTAAAGTTATGTAATCAGATGTGAAACTTAATGTGAATGAGTTGTAATCAGGGGGCAAGTAAAAACGAAGAAAAATATGGAATTACACAAAAGTTCTAAGTAAATACATGAGTTACAAAAGAGTTATAAAAGAAAACGGACAGAAATCAAGTTATTATTATCATTATTTTTTGACTACAGCTTGATTCCACACCGTATTTTTGGAACAAGTATGGAATTCTCAGCATGTGATATCGGGAGCCCAAATTCTGCAGGCTGACCATAGATATCAGGGGTGTGCGTCGGCAGGAAAATCGGACCGCGGACTATGTTCATGGTCGGCGAGAGTCCTAACCTCTGTGCCACCAACGCACAGTAGCCCATAAAGCCCATAGAGAGTGAATGCATCTGCGCAACTGAGAACAATTTTCAACCAAATCTCCAACAGTCACCAGCCATCGATTTTGAGTATCCCAAGAACCCCCAAACAGGCGGTCTACACCACCATATGTTCTCGGTTCACATCAACTGTCAAAGTTATCATGGACTAGTCCAAAGTTTTGCTTTGACCACCACTAACTCTTTTCCAACCTGATTGATCCTTTGTCAGTTAACATTATTACCCGTCAAGGAAGGCAGTAGCTCGGCATGAGTAACACATACTCTAATCACCTCAACCGATTCACCTTGATTTTCCCTCCTTATCGAACACACAAAACACATATTTGAAGACATCAAATTCACCAAAAGAGAAGAAGAATTAGATAACAAAATCCCATTTTTAGATGTCTTAATCAGGAGAACCAACACACGAGATTTAGAAACACAAGATTATAGAAAATCAACGCACACAGATCAAATACTCAACTATACTAGCAATAATCCAGTTACTCACAAACGAAACTGTATGCAGACATTGTTTAAATGAGTTCAAACACATTATAGCACTCCAGAGTTGAAAAGAATGGAAGAAAAGTACCTACAAACGGTCTTCGCAAAGAATGGTTATCCACAAAATTTCATCAAAAAGTGTTTAAAGTCGAATCAAAACACCAATAAAAGAACCATCATCAAAGACCACAAGAAAATTCATTCTGCCATACATACGAAATATCTCTGAAATAACAGCTAGAATACTGAAACCGTTTGATATAATAGATATAGCACACAAGCCAGTCAAATCGCTTAATTCGATATTGTGCAAACCGAAAGATCCAACAGAAAAAGGGGATAAAATTAATACCATTTACAAAATAAATTGTATGAACTGCAACAAGCATTACATCGGCCAAAGTGGGCGTCCCCTTCGAATCAGAATCCAAGAACACAAATCAACCGTGAAAAGACACGATATGTATTTTTTAGTATCAATGCATATAGACAATTATGGTCATCAATTTGATTGGGATAATGTCAAAATCTTAGACAGAGGGAACACAAAAAGTGCAGTCAGGGAATTCCTAGAAGCCTGGTACTCAAACGAAAATGCAATTAACAAACACGTTAAACTAACTGTTGTGGATTTTATTGACTGATGAAGCCATGTTTTGGTTTGACCACGACTAACTCTTTTCCAATTTGATCCCATACTGTGTCATCAAACATTGACTGTCGAGGAAGGCGATAGCTAGGCTAGCATGCGCAACACATATCCTTACCATCTCGATAGACTCATCTTCACAATCTCGTAAATTGGTTTTTTCTCCTTACCTAGCACTCTATACCTAACACCTCAATATTACTCGCACTATGATACCCAACCAACACAGGAGACAATGCAGACACGTATGATCAAAGACAGAGAGCTATTCCATGTATTCCACTTTCAGTGACTATGTCTCACAGCCAGCCATAAAGGAGGACAGGGCGAACTGTTGAGCAGTACACACACTTTCTGGTCAACAGCCGAATATCACGTCTACGCCAGAGATGTGACCTAAGTTGTCAAATGCCAAAAGTGCTTTCCAACTGGATTCAACATAGAGCTTTGCACAGATGTGCAGCCGTTCAACTTGCCACACTCCCTTCATGTAGTACATAAAGTAAGGGGAGAGAGTAATGTAAGATTCAAAAGAGAGGTAATAATAAACAGAAATATGAAGCAAAAAGAATAGTAATATGGAAGAACAATATAGTTTTATTGGATATTATAAATCACAAGGAGTGGATGGATGCATCTGCACCATTAGTCAGTGCATAAGAGGAGCTGAACAATTCCATTGTGGATAAACTTTTATTTTGATAAAGTCACACAGGGTTAAACAATAATAATATCTACTGATGACGTTTTGATCAAAATTTATTGCTTATAACTTCTAACTTCGTTTATATAATTCCATTATTTTTCATCTCTCAATTTGATTGGTAGAACACTGAGAAACTTTATCAAAATAAATTTTATCCATAATGGAATTATACTCTACCACAGTGCACAAGTTCTGGTCATATATCAGAGGGTTTAATAAGTGTATTAAAGTTATGTAATCAGATGTAAAACTTAATGTGAATGAGTTGTAATCAGAGGGCAAATAAAAACGAAGAAAAATATGGAATTACGCAAAAGTTCTAAGGAAATACATGGGTTATAAAGAGTTATAAAAACAAACGGACAGAAATCAAGTTATTATTAATATTATATAGTTTCATCTTGTTTGAATAGCTCCAGATTCTCCATCTGAATGATTACTAGATTGACCAGTTTCAATATGGAACTTTGCACAGAAGTACAGCTGTTCGAGTTGCCATACTCCATTAAGCACGCAAAACCAGACAAGAGCAAAATAAGAGAGTCAGAAGAATGATATTAGGTGGTTGGAGGCAAACGGCAGGAAGCCTTGGACCTAGGTCTCGTGCTAGTTGGCACTCTTCAGCAAGGCGTATCTGCAGCCTTGAAGGAACTCATGTCCCTTCTGAGATTCGAACCCGCGTCACCCAGTACTGCAGTCAGAAACGTTACCACTGAGATATTCGGCCTCGCGATTGACCTCCTGTAGGAATGTAGTGGATATTTTGATTTGACACTAGTAACTAGTGTGATGCGTCTAGTCCTCTCTTTGGTGCAGACTGAATTCTATCAGTCAGGTTGTAATGTGGCCACCATTATAGGTAGAAATGCGTGTATGAAAGAGAATAGTAACATGTAGAACCAACAGTTATTTAGATGTGGTAGATCAGAGAGAGTGAATGCATCTGCACCACTGAGAACAATTTCGAACCAATTCTCCAATGGTATCCCAAGAAACCCCAAACAGGCGGTCTATACCTCCGTACGCTTTCGGCTCACAACAACTGTCAAAGTTATCATGGACTAGTCCAAAGTTTTGCTTTGACCACCACTAACTCTTTTCCAACTTGATTGATCCTCTGTCAGTTAACATTATTACCCGTCAAGGAAGGCAGTAGCTCGGCATGAGTAACACATACTCTAATCACCTCAACCGATTCACCTTGATTTTCCCTCCTTATCGAACACACAAAACACATATTTGAAGACATCAAATTCACCAAAAGAGAAGAAGAATTAGATAACAAAATCCCATTTTTAGATGTCTTAATCAGGAGAACCAACACAGGAGATTTAGGAACACAAGATTACAGAAAATTAACGCACACAGATCAAATACTCAACTATACTAGCAATAATCCAATTACTCACAAAAGAAAGTGTGTGCAGACATTGTTTAAAGGAGTTCAAACACATTATAGGACTCCTGTTTTGAAAAGAACGGAAGAAAAGTACCTACAAACTGTCTTCGCAAAGAATGGTTATCCACAAAATTTCACCAAAAAGTGTTTAAAGTCGAATCAAAACACCAACAACGAACCATCATCAAAGACCACACGAAAATTCATTCTGCCATACATACGAAATATCTCTGAAATAACAGCTAGAATACTGAAACCGTTTGATATAATAGATATAGCACACAAGCCAGTCAAATCGCTTAATTCGATATTGTGCAAACCGAAAGATCCAACAGAAAAAGGGGATAAAATTAATACCATTTACAAAATAAATTGTATGAACTGCAACAAGCATTACATCGGCCAAAGTGGGCGTCCCCTTCGAATCAGAATCCAAGAACATAAATCAGCCGTGAAAAGACACGATATATATATTCTTTAGTATCAATGCATATAGACAATTATGGTCATCGATTTGAATGGGATAATGTCAAAATCTTAGACAGAGGAAACACCAAAAGTGCAGTCAGGGAATTCCTAGAAGCCTGGTACTCAAACGAAAATGCAATTAACAAACACGTTAATATAGACGAAATATACCAACTAATGAAAAGTAAATCAGGTGACCAGAAAGTTTAAAATCCAAGTTAATAGAAAATGGTCAATATATATGTAAAGATAGTTACCGGGAGACGCAATTATATCACTCATGGAAAAAAATTTAAATCATTTCACTTTATGCTGAATATTGCGCTGAAGGGGATGTTGTCCAGCAGGGGGACGATGAAAGCTCCGCAACTAAACCAACCAGCTCAGAGAACACAACTAATTGCAAAACACCTAAACTCAATATTACTCACTCTATTATACCACCCTAACAGGGGAGATGGAATGCAAACACGTACGATCAAAGATAGTTAACCTTTTCACGCATTCCACTTTCAGTGGACCATATTTCAAAGCCATAAAGAAGGACGGAGCAATCTACTGTGTACAGTAGATACACACTTTGATCGATAATCGGATATATATATATATATATATATATATATATACATATATATCACGTCCACACCAAAGATGGCGTAGGTTGACCGCCCTCGTTGAACTTAGCTAGTCAGTCAAAGAAAGAGGTCAAATAAATACAAATATGTAAATAGTAAATAGTAAGTAGGTTTATTAAAAATTCATACTAATTAAACCACTATGATAAAAAAACTTACATAAAAATGTGACAAAACATTCACTTTGAAACAATCTTCAATAGCATCTGGTGTGGATTCAATCACCGTATTTCCATTGACTACACCAGCATTATTGACAAGTACAGTTACTTTGCCAAATTCTTTCAACACATTTTCGGTCAATGCATCAATCTGCTTTTTATGTCTATTATAATTTTATTAAATATGAAAACTATAATAAAATTTCATTCTTTTAAAAAACGATACATACCTGAAATCGCATACATAAGTTTTAATGTGAATACCAGTCTCTTGATGGACAATGTCTGATGTTTCTTTCAAGGATGACTCGTTTAATCCTACAGCTATGATAGTTGAACAATACTTGGCAAATTCTGAACACATTAACCTCCCGATACCACTATCTGCTCCTGAACAAATACATAGATACTAACTGACAAAGGTGGATAAACTTACCGGTGATTAAGACAACATCGGATGAGAGATCTTTATATACTGGACTGATCATCTGTGAGATCCGCCTGGTCAGTTCACAAATACAGCACCAAATTAATTTACACAGGAATAGAAATATCTCCATAAGGACTTCAGTGTAGGGAACTAAATGTTCCGATTGAGGCATGTTGATCGTATCTAAAACCAAAAATAAGATAGGACACCTTATGTGAAAGTATACCGGAACAAAACAAAGGGGGGGATCCCTAGTTTCGCTGTTTCGAGATAACCAACCGACCGACCACCAGCAACAATAACCACCAAGAGGAGAAATTTAAAAGACACCGCTTCATTCACTTATCCACGAAACATCGTTTCAACCACAGCTAGCGGAACGGATAAGGACGACAAAGGCAGAATCGGAAAGGCAAAGCACACCTTCATCAATCTGAAAATCAACTGCAGTCATCATGAGGAACGAAATTCCGATTTCCAAAGCCAGTGTTGAGTCATTTCTTTTATATAGGATGCAAACTTGACGCACACATCACGAGAAGCATTTCCAACAGGCTACTTCAGACCTGTATCAACAGCTGTCTTCGCTCTACACTGAAGATCAAATGGCTAACTAGAGAGAATTAGCAGCAAGAGACTATAGGAACAAGCCGACCAAGAACCTATCGCTCAACAAATGTGTAGAAGAAAATAGAGATGGATTGGGCACACGCTGAGGAGACCATTGAATGGAATCGCCGGAGTGGAATCTGAATGGGAAACGAAGAGTGGATCGTCGGTGCGAGGGTGACATGGATGAGATGAGAGACTATGGGCAGTCGTGGAAACAGATGAAGAGGACAGTACGAAATAGAAGAGAGCGGAGATGGATTGTTGAATCCCTATGTTTCACTTGGAACCCAGGGGAACAATAATAATAATATACAATATGGTTCCGCCATTTTATACACTTATTTCCCTTCATATGAATTTGAATAAAGCGAAGACGAGGGTTTATACAGAGTGAGAAATAGTACCATCCTTTCATTTCTTCGGCTTTTCTCTGTCTGTCTGTTTCCAACATAGAACTTTGCACATATGTGCGGCAGTTCAAGTCGCCACACTTCCTCCTTGTAGCACACAAAGCAAGAGAAGAAAGTAGGAGAAATGCATAATAGAAACAGTAAACAGAGGTGTGAGACAAAGGTATAGTAATAACGAAGAACAATATAGTTTCATTTGAAATCATAAGTCACAAGAAGTGGATGCATCTGCGCCAATGAGAACGATTTTGAGCCATGTCACCAATTGTTTCCAGCCACTGGTTTTTACTGTCCCAAGGACCCAAACCAGGAAGTTTACACCTCCCTACGTGACTAGCTTAAACTGACTGTTGTGGATTTCATTGACTGGTGCCATGTTTTCATTTGACCGCCGCTAGCTCTTTTCCAGCCTGACCCTATATCAGCTAACATTGCCTGTCGAGGAAGGCGATGACTAGACATGCGTGACACATGTCCTAACCATCTCAGTCGATGTAATTTCAAAACCTCGTCAATTGACTTCCCCTCCTTACCTAGTGGTCGACCAACGCCTAACCTCAGTATTGCTCACCTTATTATACCACTTCACATGGGAGATAGAACGCAGGCACCTATGATCAAAGACAGCTGATCTTTTCATGTCTTCCACTCTTAATGGCCAGGTCTCACAGCAATAAAGGAGGACGGAGCGGACTGATGAGCAGTACACCCACCCTTTAGTCAATAGCCGGATGTCACGTCTACGCCAGAGACGGAGTAAACTGGCATATGCGAAACGAGCCTTCTGTATCCGTGCTGAGATTTCGTCAGCGATCAACCCGCTGGCATTGGCTGATGCTACTTCCCAAATAAATGAAGCGGTCAACGTGCTCTACCACTTCACTCCCTATTTCTAAGCTAGGAGTCAGTGTAGTCCAGCCCTATAACATCATCGTAAATTTGGTGGGAGCGAATCGCATGCCATACATTCGTAGATTGCAGCTCAAGGTGTTCAGAAGACTCTGCCTAGAAGGACTATATAGTCTACATATTCTAAGTCAGCGAGATTATTCCCTGGTAGCAAGTCAATCACTGAGTCTCTGAAGTGAGTTAAGGTTAAGTCCATTAGTACATCTACGATGAAATTGAATAGAAATGGGGATAATCGGCATCCCTGACGGACACTACTTAGTCGTCACCACTTCAGATGACAACTCGACGTAAGCTCTCATCTGGCTGCATGAGTTCGAGTAGTGTCTTGATCAGTGAAATGTATTTTCTCGGCATTTCCTTTACAGCCAGGCATCGCCAGAGTACCTCTCGGTCGACAGAATTGAATGCCACCTTTAGGTAAAGAAATATAATGATTGTTGGACGCCGGTAACAATGCCTATGTTCTAGAATCTGTCGAAGGGTGAAGATATGATCAATACACCCTATTCCTGGTCTAAAGCCTGCCTGGTTCTCTCGTGTTTGTGCCTCCTGAGCACCACTTAGTCTACGCAATATTATTGAGCCTAGGACTTTGGATACTATTTTAGTCAAGCTAATCCCTCAGTGGTTATCACAGGAAGACTTGTCTCCCTTCTTGTATATCGGGATAATCAGTGGCTTACACCACAAAATACGTAAAGCTTAGAAATGTAACATGATATCAGTTAGCAGTAGACTCCAATATTAATGAACAGTACTCGGAAATTACACTTATATATACCGGTTTAGATCAGCACAAAACCATAAAATAATAATGAATATTTGGATAAAATGACAAATGAGTTGCGTGATAAAGAGACAAAAGATGGATAAGTTGCATAACAATGTGGTGAATTGAACTCAAATCATACAAACAAACGATGAGCAGAATTATACTATAAGGGAAGGAGTGAAGAGGTCAAAGCCAAAGATTATACAACTAAATAAAATGAAGAGGAAATACATTGTCAGTTTATCAAGGCAAGGAACGATTGATAGCTGATAGTCTTTCTGAACACATAAAGCAGATTTCAGGCGATTGGCAGCAATCGCTCCAGTAAGTTTGAGTAGAGTTGAAGTATGTTGCCTATTGATTATTTTGAAGGATTTCAGAGTGTCCTCCACATGACCCGTAACAACCAGATATCTGACAATAGCATTATTGAAGGCATTTGTAGACTGTTTTGTAGGTGTCAATTGATATTATATCGCAATTTCCAAGCTGTACGTAGTTAGTGAGAAGTCAGTGGAATGCATAATGACATCATCATATTGTATGCAAAAACCACTATTGTCTTTGCTCTATTCAAATTTCCTCTCTTTTTATTCAACTTTTATTTTGTTTCGTAGTACGCAAGAAAATTCACTAACTAACAGACTACATGAGGGCAATTAATACCTGAGCTGTGATCATGCAAAATTAATGTTTATTCTCTTTTAAATGCTCCAAAAGGAAATTGACTTTTACAGAATGGACAGCCTAGTTAGTATTAGCGACCAGCCACATGGTTCCATAGAGTAACAATGTTCATCTGATTACTAGATGGGCTCTTCATCTTTCTGTTCTCTTCTCATTATTTATATTATTCTTCAAAGCTTTTCCTCACCTCTGCTTAATAAGTGAAACCTTAACTGTGACCATTGTTAGGCGACTTCACAAACGGTTGATGGATACTAAATGTAAGATTTTGAAGTCGCTTTGTATGTTTAATACACCTTAGTCAACTTAACTGATGACCATTTACAAGATCATTAATTGATCTAGCCTTCTTCATGGATGTGTATTTCGGATATGCTACAAACACACTGGAACAGTATTTTTTACTGGGTGACAAAGTTTCGAATACAGATCTTTACTGGTCATCATCGTATGATCAATTGTAAACACAACTTTAGAACTTGACTTTCCTTCTATGGTTCTTACCCTTCTTTCCCACATTTTTCGTAAGGATAGAATTTCGCACATATCCCGGACAGGTGTTGAATCATTCCTATTGGAGGTATTCTCAATTGATTAGATAAATAAAGCTCCCGTTATCAGTCTCTTCTTTTACCATGTTATATTAGATTTTAAGATCTGAACCATCTTGTTGTGTGGTTTTATGGAAATGCATGTAGTGATACAGTCGAGGTATTTTATAGATTAATACTATTATTGCTGTACGAGGATAGGATAAGATGTCTTAAAATCCAATATAGCATGGTGGAGGGAGAGGCTGATAACGGGAGCTTCATTAATCTAATCAGTTGAGAACACATCCACTAGGAATGATTTAACACCTGGACCGGATATCTGGAAAATTCTATCCTTACAACATATGTGAGAAAGAGGGTTTGAGAACTATAGAAAAAAAGTCAAGTTCTGAAGTTGTGTAGTTACAATTGATGATACGATTATCAACAGTAAAAGATTGTTTCCGAAACTCTGTTATCCAGTAAAGAATACTGTCTCATTGCATGATATATTCAATAAAGAATTACGTAGTATCACAGTGTCTAAGTTTTACACACATTTATTTGACATAATATTCTAAGTATAATCTCAAAATTAATTTCGTATCAACATACGAAGATACCAATGGTTAGAACCTGTGAACTTCCCGTTTCTTCGGTCTCATGAGTTGTATCAAGATGGTCAAGTGCAGACACAAATTCTAAATGATACACACCAATTGATAGATAGCTAGACATCTTGTTGGTTTTAAACATGACCAGAGAGAGAAAATTCGGGCAAAGAATGGATCGGAAACTATTCAGCGAACAAGCAAATGCAAGGGATACAAGCTTTAAACCGTCGAACTGACATCATAGTGCTCTAATTCTTGTTCAGTATACCTGCAGTGTCTTCTAATTTATTAGCCAACTAGCTCAAAAAGCAAGACTTCATAAGTACACATTATGTTATCTATGCACCACATCCTAATTTCAGTCAAAAGGTATCTTGACATCAGAAGAGAGCGAATTACGTGAATTTAAAAATAACTCCGAGAAATGGTCCGCAACATCCCAGCACCAATAACGGTTCACTGAGAATTGAAGTCAGGAGATATGACCAATCAACAGCTTTATGCACACTTCAACGCCATCTCCTCTGACTTCAAATACATGATGATACGAAAATATGGCGACCGAAAACTGTTTACATACCAAGTGAGACCTTTGTCGTTCCCTGGTTTGTGTTTTCAGCCTGTCATAGCTGTTATAAAAACACCATTTAGTGCGTTTTCAATTTCTGAGAAGTGGCTATTTTGTCTGCACTGTAGCACTGGTGAAAACTGTTTACGATACCTGAAGACTTACCAATGACGACATTCACTTACATAAAACCCGGTTGCACATTGTCGTATGTTTGAAGAGCATTTTGTCACTAGTGACGGCCAATGAGATCTGGGTATCAAATGTCACAGCCATTAGAACACTCATTATCCGACGAACAAAATCTACTAAGTAACTGAGATCTGCAACAGCACTCTGATAACACTCTTCAGATAACTTAGTTTCAAAGCCGGGTATCGTGGAGTTTCTAGCTATCCGTCATACTCAAGATTTCTGCGGGATTTCAACGCGATGTGTATGTATGAAGTTTTACTTTTTGGTAACGGGATAGTTCATGCATAAGTTAGAGCGCACCGTAGAAAGTTTGTCAACCTAGGAAGAATAAGTCCTGTGTGCGCATGTATACCCAAAGGTTTTTGGTGTTTTTCAACTTGATGTTTCTTCGGTGCATCCGAGGATTTCGCTATGACGAAAATGAAAGACAATTCAGTGGAGGAAATTTTCTTTATCGATGAAATCATCTTTAGAGGATGTACGACCGTATTTATATTTACCAAAACCGCGTAGTAGTCTATTACTGAGTAATTACTCGGAAGTGGTTTCTAAAGATAAAAATTACGTAAGGGTCAACGATACAATTGAACGGTTTGGGATATGATAATGTGGAAATTAATACTTGTTGAGAATTAAGGGAGTTAGGTGTGTGCTAGACAAGAGTGAAGAGGGTGCGAAAAGAAATTAGTAGAGTATACAAAATGAACATGTAAGAGTGATAGTAGTGACTTAATTACTAGAAATAGAAGCGAACGAGTAAGAAAGAGATTAGCACTGTGGTTGAGTAAGAGACTGAACAAACCTTTTCTGCAGACAGTCCGAGATTTTATTGACAAATCGTTCTATAGTGAGCGGATAATCAGTAGATGCATGGAGGTGCTAGTGCCGCTTTGGGCCACTTGAAAAGAAAGCCCCACCAGAGTCGTATTTTAAAATGATCTCAAAGGTGAGTGAATGGCACATGGTATTACGTTTCGGAATATGTATACGGCACAGGCACTGACGATTCGTCAATATAGACCCCAGCTCTATGTAAAAAAGAGGTTTATTTAGTTTCCTGTTCTATCATCATTTTAATTTTGATCCTGATAGTTCATTTCAGCAATTAAGTCAGTATCATCACTCCTACACGTTCCTTTTGTTCATTCCGTCAAGTTTGTTTCTTGCTATCACCACAATTATCAAGTGGACACTCAACTAATCTAGTTCACATAAGCAACAATTTCCACCTTATCAAATTTTAAACCCTAGGATGAGTGTATCCGAATCTTCGGATACTCTCATCCTTCTATTGTGTCGTTGGTTATTTATGAAGACACAAACACTGTAGACAAAAATTCTCGAAATAGTGGAGAAGGATTTCATGAATTTTCTCCTTCGAATTATCGTTTCATACGGTGTAAGAACAATACGCTTACCTCCTGACATACAATTAGCACGTTTGATTTAGCGCAAGGACGATTCCGCGTCACTTGACCTAAAGTGTCTTGATGTAGCTTAACAAATTTTAGTCTAAAAAGTCTCTAGACAGTTAGCAGGTAAACAACAACAATAATTTGAGAACTTTAGTATTGATTTTGGGTAGTAAACGGTGCTTAAATGATAAACAAATCTGACTGTGTTTCCACATAGTGTCTGGATGATATAACGTAACCCCAATTAAAGTTTCGCGAGAAACATATGTTCTCGAGTATCTTCACAAACTGTGCGCTTTCAAAACCTTGAGTTTCTCAGGTGTTGGTGGGTTCTCAATACATGATGTCAAGGTATCCGCTTTGTAACAGTTGTGGCATTTAGTATGACTTCGATACAGCTTAACGATTTGTTTGCCAGCTTCATTAACATAGTCATGCGATTATTCCTAATATCCTTTCGTTAGCCATCCGTTGACTTAAATATTGATGACAGATTAAAACTGTATGGTTGCAGTCTTTCATGGCACGAAAAAGAATCAGACCGGTAAGGTGAATTCCTGATCCTCAGTGCGTTTAAAGGACCTAGTTCTGTCACAGTTTTACGATTCATTTAGGGTCGAAATAAAAGTTAGAATAAACAGTCACTCTCAGGATGTATCTGACAGCCTGTGTCATCTACCAGTGAGTTTATTGAGTCTGTTGAAGAAAAATTCAGTTAGCAGAAATTATCACGTTGAGGACCCTCATGATATAAGAAATGTGTATATTTTATTGTCACAGACTGTACCAGTCAAAATGAAGTATACTGGTATGAGCACTGAAAATGAGCCAACAAAGCCAGTTTAAGATTAGATGACATTGATTACAGAAGCGTCGAAAAAACCTGGGAGTACTGGACAGCAGCTTCATCCTAGTTCCAAACTCTTATTCAGCACGTACCCACTGGGGATTGAAACCAGGACCTCCCAGATACAAGGTGAGCTCGCAGGCACTTCAGCCGCTGGGGACCCGGTACAATGGCCCATGAATTCAAAATTCTATCAATTCAATATATGGCGCGACCAATAGCGAATGTCATTGGTGGGCATTTGTTTTCGCACCAAACCTGCTGTACCCGCACTGGTCACGACTTCCCACTAGAACCCAGGTACCTATCCACTGAATAGAGCCAGTCGTTAGTATCAGGCTAATATTCAAGTGTTGGTCTATAGGGAATTGACTGATTATCTGCAGCCAGCTGTCACATTCTAAATAGGATGCCAGAATGGTGAACTAAACACGAAGACCGCAGAGTGTGAACCTCGGTAGGTGCGTACAGGTGAGGAGTTCCAGACTAGGCCAAAACAGCTGTCTAGCATTGCGGGTTTTTCAGTGGTTCTCTAAACAATGTCAGCTCATGACGGAATCCTGTAGCCAGTCAGTTCCCTGCAAACCAACACCGAAATAGGAACCAATCTGGTACGATCCACATGAGTTGCTGCCTTCATCTCTGTGGTTCAGTAAACTTCAGTGAGTTATGAACGTCAAATTACTAATTAGCGCAACGAATTCTAAGGTGCGGTGAAACGATAACGCAATACGAGTTACCTTTTCCCACGTTACTTGAAGACCAGTGGACTGACATTAACGCACGTGCCACTTACGTAGATATTTTAAACGCCCCATTCTTGAAAAGCATCCCCCTCAGAAGTTTCGGGACATTTTACAAAGCAGAAGCGGGTTGGAAATCCGTCAGGCTATTGTGACATGTCAACTGGAATTTGTGAGAACTTCTTATCTGTCGCATTAATTCGAAGTCGCCGTAAATATGTGCTTTTTAGGAAACGTGTTTATTTGCTTTCGCGATGATGTAAGATAAGTCGTAGATCTAGACGTGAAATACTGAGATGATTTTACCTCCTCGGAACAGATTGATTACAATGGGTCTGCAACATATGGGCTTTTCGGGTTGCATCTTGGTTAACCGACTCTTCTATCAAAACAGTTATCCAAGTTACTGGCCGATAACGCTTATTATCTCAGAGCGAATTCATTCAGTCGGCGTTTATTTTGAAAGCACACTTGTGAAAAAGTGAAGCGAGGAAACCTGGTTGGATAGATAGAAGGGCATCCATCATTCAGGGTCTTTGAGGATAGAAAGAGAACCTTGCAAGTAGTAAAGGGGGCCTTGTTCTCTAGGAAACCTGTTAGCTACGCTGCTTGAATGATTTCAACCATGTTTCCGACAGGCTTCGACTAGAGATTACTCCCACGATTGTAATGTGACCATCTATCCTGATAGATTTGGGTTCTAGATAGACTCTGCTGGATCTTTAGCATTTCCCACCTAATTCAGTGGCCACACTGCCCTTAACACCACCCCAACGAGCAAAAGGAGAATACGAATCTCAAGGCCGCTCAAAGGTGTATTTGTCAGCGGTGACGGGGATGGATTACAGATATTCACGATCATACCACAAACCTACCACTGAGCTCTTGTCCCTTAAGAACTACGTTGACCACCATGTGTTTCAGTCCACAGTGATAAATAAATTGGTCGTTAGCAGTGAAACGGCTGAGGTCCAATTGGCTTGACAAACTTCAATGGTCCCCCACAGTTCCTGCTTGGTTACTCATTTCATCCTTCTGAGTTCCTTAATTGCTTGCCATAGGATTCTGGTTTCAGACGTTACATATCACTTGAATTTTCTTCCGTTGTGAAACTAAAGTTTTGTTGCTCAAAGTTTGCGTTCACCTCATTTGGGATCACTTGTTTTTAATTATTAGCGGGCCTCGACTGATCAACTTAAATTACAAAGGATGAGGCGATAATTCACTTGAAGAGATCTTGAACGAGAATTTTGTCTTGACCGTGCTGAGAGTCACAATACACCGAGTCACTCTGGAGGATACCTTTTAAGCCAAATTTTATTTTTAGTAAGCATTAACCAATTATCCTCTGCACCACTGCATACCAGTGGTTAAATCTGCCTCAGGAATCGACTACATTCTTGGAAATAATAAAACCCGGCTGCTAAAGAATATTACTAGATGAGTGAGTTGGCCACCAGTTCCCTGAAGAAATTTTCGGTTGTTTGGAGTTGCGTACCCGTTATTCTTCAAAACTTTTATTTGTATTTTGCTATGGCTTGGTTCCACATAATATTTTGGTACGAGTATGGAATTTTCAGCATGTGATATCGGCAGCCCAAATTTAGCAGGCCGACCATTGATATTAGGTGTGCGTTGGCCGTGGTTCAAACCCCGGACTACGTGTATGGTTGGCGAGCATCCCACTGCTGTGCCACGTACATAACACACTCGAAGTCCTCATGTCCTAAGTCATCTGCTACTTCAGGAAGGATGGTGTTTTCCTTCATCTTCGTGTCACTATATCTTTTTGATCGCACACTGTATCATTTACACTATACACCACGAAAAAACGTTATTTTTGATGGAAAAACGTACTGCACATTTCTAGGTAGGGAACAGATATTGGTTCATAAATGTAACAGAAGCAAATAAAATATAATTATATTTCAGTAGTTTACACACAATGGTAAGTTTTGTTATTGGTAATATTTCGAGCGAAATAACTGCCCGTGTTCACACCACTGTTGGAATTGTTTTATTCACACATTTATGATTTGTACTGATGTACATAGTTCATTATTTTTGCTCATTCATGTTTTTTTGTATTTGAGTTATATTTTTACGTTCGTTCATGTTTTTGTATCCAGTACCAATAAAAAAACTTATCATTGTGTGTAAACTATTGAAATGTAATCAAACTTTATTTGATCTAATCCACAGTGCTCAAACTTTTTACGGATATTAAGTAACGGAAGCAATTAAACTGTCACCAAATTTCATGATTTCTTCACAGAGCGAATACATGTGTTTTTTATTTATGTTATTATTGTTCCCATATGGCTTCAAAAGCATGTCTCCATTTTGTCCTATTCTCAATCTTCTTAAAATGCCTACAAGATTGCCGAGAGCCTCTCACCTCCAGTTCACACGATCTTCACCAGGCCACACTCGGACCCATATTCATGTCGTTGTTCCCTATTCAGGTTCTTCTCGAGCGATGGCCTACACCGGGTGCGACGTAATTCAGCGGTTTTCTCAACGCTTGCCCAAACCACCTCTATTTTCCCCTTCATATTTGTTGAGCGATAATTTCTTTGTTGGCTTGTCCCCATAGTCTCTTGCTGCTAATTCTCTCTGGTTTGCCATTTGATCTTCATTATGGAGAAAAGACAGCTGTTGACATAAATCTGAAGTGGCTTGTTGGAAATGGTTCTCGTGATGTGTGCGTCAAGTTTCTATCCTATATAAAAGAAATGACTCAACACTGGTGTTGGAAACGGGAATTTTGTTCCTCATGATGACTACAGTTGATTTCCAGACTGATTTCAGATTGATGAAAATGTCGCCTTGCCTTTCTGATTCTGCCTTTTTCGTCTTCATCCGTTCCGCCATCTGTGGTTGAAACGATACTGCGTAGATAAGTGAATAAGGTGACGTCATTTAAATTTCTCCCCTTGATGGTGATTGTTGCTGGTTGTTGTCAGTTGGTTGGTTATCTTCACCGCCACCTTCCACACGCTCATTTGAAATCCTTTCTTTGCTGCTCCTTGTGCCAGCTGAACGGTTCCGTCTGTGGATCGTCTAGTTTTTATGACTTTGGACGGAAATTAAACACCAAGTTCAGATATTCTGGGGTCTTCTCGTCTTTCCGACGTATTCAGGTTTTGTCGCTTCCCATAGTCTTCCTAAGAATTCAGTCCACAATCAGTAATATCATCGGTGATTTTTGACTGCCATGCCTCACTCCGTATTTTAACTTAAAAGCCGCGTTGAGTACTCGGTTGTGGGTCTTCTGACACGTGCCGTTGCCGTACAGCTGTTGAGTGAGGTTGATAAGGGTTTGGAGCAGTTTTGAATTAGTTTAAAAATTAAAAATACAAATAGTCCTCCACAATGTAGCATTATATGGCCATTCATATGTTGCAAGTGATTACGGAGCTCGGAAGGATGAAACAAGCAACCAAGTAGGATCTCCATTTTCTTTATGATTTATTGGGCTTTCTTTATCTACTGAACGATGGATGCTCTTCCGTTTGTTCGAATGGGTGTTCTTTGCTGCA